CGAGCCTCGCTGGTGAAGGCGCCGCCGCGGCCCCGGCGCCTAGCTCGGGGCTGGGCATCAAGGCTGTGCTGAAAAAGTTGGCTGAGTACATCTTCCTCTTCTCCAGTACTGCTCCCTGGGCTTACATTGTAAGTGAAGTAAAATTCTTTGCTGTTCAAGTCCACCTGTACCATTTGGGCACAACACTTAGGCCCTGAGGTTTCATAAACGTGACTTATTTGGAACCCTTAGAAAAACTCTTACCCTTTGGGCAAAGAGGCATTAGAAAGGTGGTCTGTCCCCGGCAGGGAGTGGGGACACCTTAACTGTATACTTCAAGCCATGGCCAGTTGACTGGTGTCTAAGATAAGTCCAAAGTGAGAAATGAAGACAAGGATCGACATCTCTGAGCTCCAAACAAAATGACCAAGATTTTTGTGCACTGTGATTTCAAGTAAAATTGATTTCATTTCTCAGTGGCTTCTTAAACCACAGAAGTATTAGTCTAATGTGATCATTAATGTGAGCATTTCAATAGGAAAGGGGCTTCTTTGGCCTCACTGATAAACTTCCACTCTCTGGATCAGAAACTCGCAGATCTTTGGGTTGTTGAGAATGTCCATTTCTGCCTAAAGAAAATCCACCTTGCTTAAAAATACAGGAAACGAAGATTTTTCTGGGCTGAAGTGAACTTACTTAGCATCATCGTATTAGAATGGAAATATTAAAGCAGTCACCTTACCCAATGCCTTTTTGTAGGTGAAGGCTTTGAGGTTCAGAGAGGACCTGCCCAAGGTCACAAGAGAATCAGGAGGTAAAATTATAAGTTCTCTTGACCTCTGATATATTGTTTTACTTCACAGTTTTCTGGTATTCGAAGTTTTCCCTGTTTTTAGGACTTCATCCATTCAGATCTTCAAACTGACCCAAAGAAACTAAAGAGGAAGCCTAGGTAGGAAAAGGACTTGGAATGACAAAAGACACAAATATAAAAGTAGCTATTAGTTATTGAGCACTTACTATTATATGCACTTTCCCTGGATTATCTCATTTAATTCAAGTTTTCAAATAATTTTATTCTTAGCTCAGCCTTAAAATTGAATAATTCCTGATGGATAAAAGAGCTGTTTTTCCCACTGTGTCCTTTGACCATGTAATACAAAAGAGTTTTGTTCCTGGGCGCAGGGGCTATACCAACTCAAAATTCTGCTAAGTCATTTCCTTTGACCCAGCAGTTCCAGTTTTATGAGTTTATCTTAAGGAAATACTCATTAATGTGTTCAAAGACTTGTCTCTATGTTTACTACAGCATTCTTTGAAATATGGAAAAATTGTAGTCTTTAATGATCAACAAAGGGAACTGATCATCTATACAATGGAATATTCTGCAGGTATTAAGAATGATCTAGTTGATGAATATTTATTTAGCATGGAAAGATATTCACAATATGTTTCAAAGTGAGAAAAGCAGGTCACAAAATTGTATGCTCAGAATGATCCTGTTTTTGAAAGGGTAACAGTGATTATTTTGGAAGATGGGGTTATGAGTGATTTTTATTTTTTCCTCTTTTGCTTTTCTATATTTTTAAAAATGTCAATAGTAAATATTATTTTGGATTCACTTTGTTTTAATATTTCACTATTCCTGTTACCAAAGTACCTATAATGAGTGAAGCACTGTGGCAAGGGCTAGCAGGCAAGAATTCAGTGCAGTTTAGTACAGTAAAGAACATAGTCTTAACCACTGTAGTTAGGGTATTAATCAGACCTGGATTCCAAATCTTAGCATTGCCCTCTCCAAGGTTTATCATCTTGAACAAGTTATTTGGGTTTTTTAAGCCTAAAAACAGTAATGATAATAATAACATTTATTGAGAATTTACTTTGTTCTGGGCACTGTACTAATTAAGCACTTTGTATATACTCTCATACCCATAGCTGATGAAGAAACAGGCTTAAATTAAAGGCCATTAAATAACTTGCCCAAGTTTACGTAGCTAGGTATATACATCATAGTGTGATTGTGAGGATTAAGTGCAAGGGGGCACTTAAAGCACTTAGCCTAACACACTACCGGATTAGATGATAATAGAGAGATGATAGGTAGACAGATACACACACTTGATATGTGTCATTTTTAATAATTTAGGCACAACACTTGTAGCAAATTCTGCTCTATCTTATTACTCAAATCACCTCTCCAGGCAATCTAACTTGGCTATTTCCTGTGGTCAGTAAGAGCATGGGCTCCAAACCCTGCTTTGGCTTGAATCTCAGCACTACCACTTAACCCAGGTAAGTTACTTAACCTCTTTATGCCTCAGTTTTTTTGTCTATAAGATGGGCATACTATTAGAACTGATTTCACAGAGGTTGTTCTGAGTATTAAATAAATTAACACAAAGCAGTAAGAATAGTGCCTAGTATACTTAGAATTTTTAAAAACGATAACTCATTTTTCAAATTTTAAGTTCTATTTTACACTAATGTAAAGATTTTAGTACATATTCCCTATATTGAGATCTGAACATACTGTTATTAATGCCAAAAGGTTATGTAAATGTACAATCTGTCAGAATTTATAGTAGGAAGCTGCCTCCACTTAAAAGAAACCCATGTAGCATTTACATGTGCTTATACTACTAAAACAGAAGTCAAACCGAGACACAAGATATACAAAAAATGCCAATTCTTTCTGTCTTAACGTTAACAAAATCAGTTCATCCATGAATTCTTTAAAAGGAGCTGGTATATTTAGGACTTGACTTTGTCATATATTCTCTGGATTTATAAGGTCTTTGGAAAACAATTGAAAAATTCCAAACAAAGACGATAAATATATCTTCAATTTTATGGTCAAATATGTTAAGGTAATACTACTTATGAAAAATCTCATAAAGAGAGCAAATTACCTAGGATTAAGAATGATGCTATACACAAAAAAACTGCCTCTCATCAATTAAAGATATATTTTAAACTAATATATATATCTATATCCCCACACATACATATATACACGTATTTTGGAATTATGTTAAATGCTCCAAAGTATAATATTAATTATATTCCTTCCCAATACAAACCATAAATAGAATCTGTGATAATTTTACAATTACAAGTCATATTGTGGCTCTAGGATAGACAACTTCATGTAACAAAGCAATTAGTAAGAGCATGGAAACTTACTTTCTTCCTTTGAAAGGCAATTCCTGTATTGAGTAATGTTATTTTTCTTTAAAAGTCCTGAATCTTCACACAAAGGCATTACAAGCTCATTGTGCACCTTAATTATAAAGGCACCTGTGCTTTGTTTAGCTGGTTGGTTGGACCCTAGGATTTGATTTGTCACACTACTCCTCTGTCCCGCCCTATTTCCCTCTTAATGAGAAACAACTTAACATTAGCATCTGTGCAACCTCCAGGGCTCAAATAATGACTGGGAAGGAACAGAGGTACTAGTTATGCTGGGGAGCACTTGTTGCTTAACCTTCAGGTAAAGGGCTAAAGTTCAGGGTTAGTAAGCATCCACCTGGAGGATAGATCGACTTTAAAACATTCGAGAGGTTTCAAAACATGAGACCTCACCCCCACCTTCCACCCTTACCGTTTTCTCCCCTGCTCCCCACCACCCCATCTCATCCTTGGGGAGGCAGTGTGGTGTTAGGTGGAGTCAGATTAATCCCACCTCTGTCATTCAGGAGTTCTGTCATCTTTAGCAAATTTCTTTAATTCTCTGAGCCTCAGTTTCTATAAAGTAGAGATAACAGTACTTATAGGTTATTAGGAAGATGATTTTTAATGTTAATGAGAAAAGTGTGTTAAAGGAATCATTTAATACAAGTTGCTTCTCTTTCCCCCCTTTCCCTCCGCATTGGGAACGTTTGAAAAAGGCTCCAACTTTGCACATCAGTAGAAGAATAGTCATGTGTAAAGGTATGGATATTTGAGAAATTTGGGAATTCGATGTAAGATAGAAAATGCAACTATTGTTTTCATCACCAACATCTCCTGAAAGGGAAGGAAGGAGTTCTTTCATTCAGCAGGTATTCATTGAGTATCTACTAGGCCTAGGGCTCATGCTAACACTGGCAATAGAGTTGTCTTCTGTCCTTGAGAAGATCACAGCCTGAGCTGACAGAGATGAGGAAATGACAGTGAGGAGTCAATGTAGCACAGTGTAACAAGTACTAAAATACAGAGAAGCGCCAGAGACTATGAGAACACAGAATTAAGGGTGGAAAAAGCAGCCTGGGAGAAAAGGAGTAGGTGGGAGGGAGGGTCTGGGAATATTCCTGGGAAAAATGATTCTAGAATTGGGTTTTGAAGAGCAAGTAGGAGTTAGAAGGTGAAAGACTGAACATTGATGCTTCAGAGAGGTGTCTTTTAAAAAAGACCTACTCTAAATAACTGTGAATTTAATGGTGTATTCCAGTGTCAGAATGAGGCTACATTGTAATGTCATTGACTTATGAATATAACAGAATTTGTACATTTTCTAATATTTCATCATATGAGATTTTAATGAGAACAATGAATAAGTGCTGTTTTCGAGTAAGCCCATGAGCATATGTTCAGAAACATTTGACTAGAGCCTTTGCTCTAACAGTTTCAACTGTTCTTCGTTGCTCTTTAACAGTAACGGTTTACACTTAATAGATTTGATAATTAATTGCTTAATAGTAGAAAATAACTCAGTAAATCATGACATGCAAGAAATAAGAAAAAGAGTACTCAGGTTTCATGTAGGTTTTAGTGCTGCAAGGGATCTTAGAGCTCATTGATCTCCTCATTTCACTGGCAAGGAGTCAAAGTCAGGTCCAGAGAAGCTCAGTGATCTGCCCAAGTTCACACAGCTGGTGAGAAGCAGGAATAGCAGTTCTCTGGGCTCTCTGCCCATTGCTCTAACCAGTGACAATGACTACCATTTACTGGTCATTTCCAATGTACTAACATGATAACGAAAATCTTTAAGTATTATTTCATTTTATTGACATTTCTAGTCTAACACTTATGCCTGAATCCTTTTAGAATGGAGCAGGGAATAAATAATTTTTAAAAGTAAATATATGTTGTGTAGATACCAGTGAGTGAAGAAATTGTGTTCACATAGAGCTTATTTCATTAGCTAATGTGTTTCTTTCAAAGCTAACTTTAGTTTTATACACATCTTTCAGATTTTGTTTCTAAGATTTTCCTTTAGTCGTTTGATATAATTCAGTTCCATTTGACAAATATTTACTGAGTCCTTGTGATAGGAAAGGTGAATGTTTCTTTCCTATTGCATTCTCTCTGGATGTCCGGCTTCATGAGAGGTCATGTCACGCCAGGAAAGAACACAGACTTGGGAGTCAAGAAGGCTTAGGTTCAAATCCTAGCTCCTCAACTAACCTTCAGGGATCTTGGGGAAGTTACCTACTTCCCTTTCTGTAAAATGAGGGTGTAAATTAAATCTCCCTTACAAGGTTGTTCTATGGATTAAAATGGATAAAATCAGTAAATGGAATCCATTTAATTCAAGGCCACTTTTCTGCAGATGACTCATATTCATTAAGCTGAAAAACACATCTATTAGTTGGAGTGTCTCAGTTTTTTCTGCTTCCATGCCTTTGCTTATGCCATTCCTCCCTGGGAATATTTCCCCCTACTGCATTGCCTCCTTTTGAAATCAGACCAGTCTTGTAAGGCTCATTTCAGATGCCTCCTCCAAGAAATTTTTCCTGATATTCTTTCCTCTTTTGAAGCTCTGAAGCATTTTGTTGGTATTTCTTTGCAGGCACTTTGATTTTGCCGTCAGCTCAGTTACTGAACACCTAATGCTGCCCACCTCGCTCTTGGCTGTCATTTACTCCTCCTAAGTACCCAATCGTCTTGATTTTGCAGATAAGGAAACTGAAGCTCTGGAAAGTTAGGTGACTTTGCCCAAAGTCACACAACTAGAAAGGGCAGGACCACCATTCACTCCAGGGTCAGTATTCTCATGCTGAACTTCGTTGCCCCACCCACATCTGCTTTGAGCTTCTGTCTCTTGCATGAATGTCTTGTCCATCTGTGTAAGTTCTTTGCGGGCAAGGGCTGTGTCTCTCACCTTTATGTCTCCTCTAACATCTAGGCCAGTCTCTTGCACAGAGTGAGCACAACAAAATAAACAGAAAATAAAATACCCAACCAGGGACTCTCAGAAAACACCTCCAAGGCAGCGTGTGGACCCCTCCCTCCACTCCCATTTCCCTCTAGCTGGCTCAAGGGGCCTGGCTGCCAATGCGCTCACACCAGACTCTTTCAGGAGCAGGTGCTAATTCAAACAGCCTCATTACCACTCTGTGGGGCCCCTGCACTAATTATAGTGGGGTTTTAACTATCTCCAGTTTCTACAATTCAACAGCTTCTATTTTTAACCCATAATGAATGGTAGGATCTATAGCAGCAGGAACGGACAGGATCTAGTATTCTCCCACGTCACCCTGTGTCCCCTCCTAGTGTTCAGAGGAAAATAACCTGTCCAAAAGCAGAAAAATACATTAAATCAGTTGCATAAATTATGATTCATATCTCACAGTTCATCTGTTCTCTGGCCACATAAATGTTACAATTTTTAAATCAAGGTAAATCTAAAAACTAAGAAAATTTACCAAGCTACCACCATCCATGACAGAATAAGTACCCCTTTCCCTAGCCATGTAGTTACCATGATACCTCAGCAATTTCAAACATCTCTTCCCTCCTAAACATCACTTCTCTCCTAGGAAGAGAGGCCTAGGCCTCATAAAGCTCAGTGTGGTTTTGTTTAAAATCAGTTTTCCCCATTTTATTTTGAATTTGCTGAAGCTGGAACTCTATTAATTATTTCTTGTGAATTATTTCTTGTCAGAATGCTTAGCACAAATTACACATAGTAAATGCTTACTGAATGAATAAATAATCTAGTTCGGTGTTATTCAAACATTTTAAAAAGCTGTGTAAAGTAAAAAATATAATTTATGTTTCCCCATCTCCATCTGAAACAAACATTTTATGAAGTAATGCTTACTTTTACTACCTGCAATGCACTCTGATCTTTTCCAGACAATCCTACACTATGCTATTATTTCATTTATTTTATTTTTAATTTTTATTTTTTTAAAGTAACTAATTGTTTTATTGTTTTAGGTCAACAAAAGGAAATTTACATTTATAAAGGAAATTTTCATTTGTAGAAGGCCTCCCTCTCCTTACCAGGAACAGGAAGACTCTTAACAGCTCTCATCAATGGAGAAGGCAGGACCTCAGTCTGTATAACAAACCTTATTTTAAAAATATCTTTAGTTTTGAGAGTATTACAGGTGCTGGTTGTGATTCAACAAATTGATTCATGATAACAGTAAGTAGTTCCAAACCTAATTTGGATCATATTGGATTAGGTATAGGAGTTATATTTAATTTTGTACTTAGGTTATTTTATTTACCATCACCATGTTTTTTTTCTATTTTCAAGTGTTTAGTGAGGGCATAATTAAAAATAAACATGTAAGGAGAAATCCTTCACACAAGTCAGACAATAACTGTCCTCTTCAGGGTCTCATAGTGTTTGAAGTTTGCTTCTTTGCCTTGGAAATACCAAGAATGAGTTATTCTTGCCAATGAGTGTTTCCCAAAATGCAGGTGTCCATTCTTCTTTGGGTCACCAAGTAACAATAACACCCAACATTTACTGAGCACTTACTACATTCTAGGTACTCTTTTTCTCATCCTTTTATAGGTATATCCTTAGTTAATCCTCACAAAAAACATTAGATAAGAACTATTAGTTTTGCCATTTTATAGGTGAGAAAATATAGGCACAGAGAGACTTAGACTGCTGGAAAAGAGCAGAGCCAGGTGAACCCAGCTATCCTAAGAGGATGTGTGCTCCATAGCTAGACCACCACATTCAAACCTTGTCTCTGTCTCTTAATAATTGTGAGCATGTTTTTTTTAACATCTCTATGCCTATGTTTTCTCAACTATAAAATGAAGTTGATGATGATATTAATAGTTCCTAATCACAAGATTTGGGAAGATTGGGACAGTTTATATGTAATACTTAGAACAATGTCTGGCGCATGGTAAGCACCCATTAAGTGTTTGCTCTTTGATGGCTTCAGAAGCTGCACCCTAAACCACTGTAATAAACTGCCTTTACAGTTCATAGATGTGTCTCCATAGTGAGAGAAACTTCTGTGCTGAAAAGGACTCTAGAGGTCAGCTAGTTCCACTTGGTCATTTCACAGTCGGGGACGGTGGGAAGAGAAGGGACTTGTTTGCCCAAATGTATGAGGCACAGCTGGGCCTAGAACTGTATCTCCAGTTTCCCACTTAGTGCCCTCCCCACCCCTTCCTCTCCCTCCCTCGTGTACCCTGTAAATGCGCTGTCCTGTCTGCCCCATTTTCTCCGGGTAACTGCGTTGCTGGGACTCAACCTAAGTGCTGATGGCTGGGGAAACCCTTTTACTCAACAGGCTATACCATAAGCAGCCTGCTGTCTATATTTGTTCGCTGCAGGTATTTAGCATTTTATTACAACATGTAAGGTTGGAAAACACAAGATTTGGAGGAAGATAGCCCTGCCAATTCGGCATTTACCCTTCTGACGCCTCGCTCGTGGCCTTGGCTTCCTCAGGCCTCCCTGTGCCCTGTCCTGCCCCTTGCAGTTTATTCCCACAGCAGCCTGAGTGAACCTTTTAAAAAATGCGATAATGGCGCTGCTCTGCCCCAAAGCTTTCAGTGGTTTTGCATTGTTCGTGGGGCAAGGACCAAAATCCTTAAAATGACCTACGTGTCCCTACTGTCCTGACTTCTGCCACCCCTCCCATATTGCTGTCCCTCGAGCCGGCACTTTACTTCAAGTCCTTAAAAACACCACCCTCTCTCCCACCAGAGACTCTGCATATTCCCTTTCCTTTGTCCTTTGTCTT